GGGGAATTTACAGTGCTGGATTTTTAAGTGACCATATTAAAAGAACTGTTGCAGGGACCGATTTGTACCCCCGATAAAATTGTTAGGGACCAAAATGGTCCCTTCTGTTAAAGAACAATGACTAAAATGGTCCTCGGTAATATTTGTGGGAGACTAGTTAAGGTTATTAAACATCATTAGACAAGGCAAACAGAACACACATACCACATGATTTCATAAACCAGATACTGCATGACATTGGCAGCAACAGAGATGAAAATATTGTAAACAATCCACAATATTCAATAAGATCAATGACAACAATGGCAACAACAGAAATTTGATTGCAAATATTCATTAACAGCAAGGCAATGGCAACAACACATAACACAAATACCAGAACACACATACGAAGGACAGCAAACAGAATAATGCATGATCATTAATGACAGCAACCAGGACAAACAGAATAAACTTGGCAATCCAAAATATTCATTAACATCACCAAACAGAATTACTAAGGACAACTTCATCAACAACAGGACTATGGCAAAATATTCATTAACAATCAAAATACAATTAAGTATGGCAATTCTATGTGAAATAAGTAATTGGAAGCACAACCAGAAAAACCTTACCTTCTGTTGATCCGAAATGAAGTTCCAACCAAATACTGCATGGTCCCCTAAATCTTCCTGTAATAATGTCAGAAACCACTTCCAATTATCCTTCGTCTCACTATCAACCACGACATATGCAATCACATAGAATTGTTTGTTTGCATCTTCACCCACAACACTCAATAATTGACCTCCATAATAGCCCTTCAAAAAGCATCCATCCAACCCAATTAAGGGCCTGCATCCAGCTTTGAATCCCTTCTTACAAGCATCAAGGCAGATGTACATTCTGTCAAATATTGGCAATGATTGTGGAATAGGTTGAGGGGTGACTTGCAATTTGCAACTGAAGCCAGGGTTGCTCCTCAACAGTTCTGCCAAATATTCCCTTAATCTTCCATATTGCTCCTTCTCACAACCTTCAATGGTCCCCTTTGCTTTTTTCAAAGCCTTAGTTACTTTCTTCATATCCAAATGCACATTGTATTCCTCCTTCATGTGCTCAAATGCCTCTGTCCTTGTCATCTTGGGCTGTGTTAGTATTCTCTTCTCCAATTTCTTGGCCACCCAATCTCTTGTAGCCCTTTTATTCTTGAAGACTCTACAGCATGTATGAGTCTCTTTAAAAGTCTTAACTTGGAATGTGCTTTGCTTACTGTTCCAGGCACAATACACCATCCATTCACAGTCTTCTACACTGCATTTGGCCCTTACTCTCACCTTGTCATTCTTAACCCATACGAAGTTCCTCCCAAGACTGATATTGTAATCTTTTACTACACACTTAAATTGGCCCAGATTCATAAACTCCATACCAAGTTCTAAATAAACATGCCCAAAAGAAGCTTGCTCATTGAACTTTGGCATAACAGGTCTAACATTCTCATCATATCACTTGAATGAGGAGTCCTCAACTCCTCGGACAGATAGGTATATCCTTCTTCCTCAAATGACATCATGGCTTCCTCTTCATCAACTTCTTCAGATTTAGAGTCTTGTATTGGGGCATCCTTCTTGACTTCCTTTCTCCTTGGGGTCTGTTTTGCAGACATTTCTTTCTCTACAATTGGCACTGACATACCATCATCATCATCTTCTGAATCATCCTCAACACCAGGTGGAGGAGGCTTGTAAACCTCATCCTCTGCACTCTCATATGAATCTGAGTGTGAGGTAGCATGGTCATCATCTGCATTATCTTCTTCAGACCCATAACCAGCATCCTCTGCACTGTCTTCATCATGGTCCGAATTGATCCCATCATCACCTTCTGCATTCAGGTCATCAGCAGCCTGTGCATGGTCTTCATCCAAATTCATCCCATCATCACCTTGTGCAATAAGGTCATCACCAGCCTGTGCATGGTCTTCGTTTTCTTTGACCCCAACATCACCTTGTGCACAACCTTCACGTGAACTGACCCCATCATCAACCTCTTCATGGTCCTCATTATGTGCTGAATTAATGATATTATCCTCTTCACTGTCATGTGTAGGTGAAACAAACTGGGGAATTGAGATGCAACCCTCAAAGTAGACATGTATCTCATTGCCATTCCCTAAAGCAGCCTCACACATAGCACACACATCTGAATCTGTACTAAGAGGTCTCAACCCCAGATCCAAATCGGGTACCCCAGGTTGTAGCCACATCATCCTCTTGCATTTTCTTTACCCATATTGCTTAAACAGGGTGTCAAGGTCACGAATATTGCAGTAGTCAATGTCCATTTCCGGCAATGAGTCCACCCTTCCATATATATAGGTCATCACTCCATCTTCATCTCTGACAAACATACCACCGTGATGATAAACAATAACTATGTATTCGGACATCTGTCAAAACCAAAAAACCAATCCTATCATTAAACCATGAAGCCACAGACTTTGAAAGTGTTAAACAATACAAAGCAATAAAAAGAAACCTTTTTTTATGGATGCAGACATGTATTCCAACGATTAACATGGGGTTTTTAAATGTTTTTAAATGGGTCAACCATGGCAGGGACCACACCACCCGGTTGTTACTTTCTTTTAAAACAAAACCCTAAATGGAAACATGGACCACAATGTTCCACTTCGTGCATAAAAACGCAAGCATTAAACAAAAGGGAAACAACATGGGGACCACAAGCATTAAACAAAAGATGACAAACAACAATATAAAAATGTTTCAACATATAAATACTCATACCTTTTTGAACGGTATGCTCAGCCTCACAAAGTCTCCCAAGTTGTCTTTGTCTTCCACTGGTTCCCTTCGATTCTGGAAGAAGTTTGCAATATTCCAAACGCAGGCACCAGGGTTTACTCCACGGTCTTCTTCCTTCGTTCTCAACAATGAAGTGTCGATGTTAGAAGAGGGGGAAAAGGTAAAGTGTCCAACGGTTAGGTGAGGGGCAAAATTGGGTTTTACAATAAAAGGGTTGTCCAAGGTGGCTGAGTTTCAACAAAACGACGTCGTCCAAGATGTCCACGTGGGCTTCAGCATGTCACTTAATGTGACACATCAGCACCGTCACTCACACCGTCAATTTTGGTTTGACAGAAGGACTAACGTGGGTCCTGTTTCACATTGTTGGGACTATTTTACGAGTTTATTTTTCTTAGGGATTAATTTGGCCACCGCTTTTTTTGTCAAGGACCAATTTGGGTCTTTACTCTATATTTAATATTCAACAATTTAACAAAAAAATAAAAAGCTAAACTTATAATACTCATCAATTTTGCAAAGAAACATAAGATATCCCAAATGTTTATATTAAATTTAATAAAATAGTAATCGTAATCCAACGAATCTAATAGTTGGAACTCAAAAAATAATGCAACGTAACATTTGAACCTTTTTTGAGTCTTTGCAACCAGTATTAGAGTGTCAGGAAGTGTTGGAGTGTCGGACACGACACATCAGGGATTTTGAAGTGTCGATGTTTCATAGCTCGACGTTACCCATCATGTTTTCGCAAGAATTTTTTTATGTTTTTCCCTAATTTTGTTAAAGAGTAATGTTTGAATAAGTTTAAGAGATATAAAAATATATATATATATATATATAAAGTAAATTTAAATATAATAAAGTTAGTTTTATTTCCTTGTCAAACTCAAATATATTTGATATTTATCTAAATATTAATATATAATAATTAAAACACGCCCAATTAGGGAGATTTTTTAGGCTTTTTCACCCTTTTACCCCTCATTAATTAATTAATAACCATTTTGCCCCTGATTCGAAACTATCTATCAATCTGCCCCTCTTTAATCGACTACGTTGCATGTTTAATCGACTAAATGGTTGTTGGGAGATTTAATCGACTAAATCTCCCTACTTAATCGATTAAAATCATACTGACTTTTTTGTGTGTGTCAAATATGGAGATTTAGTCGACTAAATAGGAAGATTTAGTCGACTAAATCCCCCAACAGCCATTTTTTGTCTGTTTTGGTCATTTAGTCGATTAAAAATTCAAGGTAGTCGATTAAAGAGGGGCAGATTGATAAATAGTTTCGAATCAGGGGCAAAATGGTTATTAATTAATTAATAAGGGGCAAAAGGGTGAAAAAGCCAGATTTTTTATGTATGGGTAATATTAATTAATTAGTTTTATATTTTTAAAACTAATTGGGTTAATGGTATTTAGATTTAACTAAGTCAATTGTGATCTTGATGAAGTATGCTTTTGACATGTATTAGTATTGGACCTAATTATAGAGCACACTTTAAGTATTGGTGTTTAATTGCGTTATGCGATGGGTAAACGCAACAAACATAATGATTATTAGGGTTATGTCAGATCCATTCGTTGTAGCAAAGTCTTGGGCACATAATGCAAAGAGGTTTAAAAAAATGATAGTACAAAAAGTGAGTTGAAAAGGTTTTATAAGAGTGAATAAAAATGACACTAAAAATAAAACAGGAGAGAATGAAGTTTCAAATGTCCAAATATCAAACTAAAATATTTGTCAAATTATGTAAAATGGAGTTAAACATATATAGAACTCATTTAACATATTTTTGTTTTTTTACCTTGCTATTGAGTACTGTACATTTCTCAAGCCTTATGTGTAATCTAAATTTGAAATTTAATAATAAGATACAAGCGCCCTTAAAACACCAAAAATTAAATATACAGATTTTTTTACCTGTACTTGTTAAATATACAACCACTCTTAAAACACACCAAATTTTTTAACCACACTGATAACTGCTTTAACTTAGCTTTGTTACTCGTAAATATGCGGAGCAAAATATAAGAAAAAAGAACGGTCACAGCAAAATAATAATAATGCGATACACGTTGCAAGACTTGGCAGACATATATAAACAATTCTCAACTAGAGGTACCGTAAGATATTGCGACAAAAGCTCTACCATATAAGATTTTATTCTTCCCTATTCGCGTGTTCCATCAAGACTGGCTACTGAACCATTAGGAACTAATGGTTTGATAGTTGATGAATGATGATACCATACGCAGAAACTGATAATGTAGACAAGCGCCATTTTTCTATGTTGAGTTCGTTACAAACTGATATAAACTTAACTAATCAAATAACATGTAACATATTCGCAACCTCAAATGATATATGTGATACAAAATATAAACACCAGCCTTTGACAAGCCTGAAAAGTAACAGTGTCTTCTCCTATTGTTTCTCAAATGATAGTATATTGCACTCTTCTATTACATTCGAAGCATAAGTGGCTGGTAACTGTTGCAAACTCCAAGGATTTTTTTCTTTTATACAAAACATACAGTTTTAGAGTATTCGGTCCTGAAGATCTGTCATCAAAGTGGACGCCAAGGAACTGAGCTTCTTCCCAGTCTCTCCGGCAATATTTTTAAGGGATGAGATATCTTGTTGTGCCTGTAAAACGTGAGAGAAAAAGGGAGAGCGGAGATACTCCATTGAGGACGAGCAGCATGATCGAGAATAAGAACAGTAAAATTTCAAAATCCAAAAGCATACCTGGAAAGACAGTCGATTAAGCAGGTCACTAGCAGCAAGATCAATGGAGGAGTTATCTGTTGAGTCACCAAAAAAATCGGCACTGGAGATGGCAGATGAACCCTGGAAATAAGAGGATGAACTCTGTAAAACATCAACTTTTAAAGTCTCCCATGATGCAGTGTTACAATAATTTCTTATTAAGAATTTGCACATGCCAGGGAAAAGTCATACCTTATCTTAAATAAAAAAAGAAAAGAAAGAAAGAAAGAGAGAATTTTCTTCCAGAAAGCATAAAATCAGTTCAACCTTCTCAGTTCATTAAGATGGACACTGTTACCCTTTTTAACACATGATCAAGGGTTTCTAGCACAACATTGAGTTAAATTCCATGTATTATAATAATGCCTTACCATCCATATTGATAACAGAGAATAATAGCTAAGCTAATAATAAAAACACATTAAAGAAATGTAACAAAAAATAAAAACATATTAAAGAAACACCAGCAGAGTTTCCACTTACAGACATGACTTCACAATGATAAAAGAAATTGTAATGATAGAATAGTGGGAAACTTTTCCCCGAGGCTGTCCAGAAATAATTTTTGGCATGTCTTCTATTTATCATGAAATGGTTTTCCATTGCCAAAGTCACAGGAAAAATAAAATAAAAAACCTTAACGATTACAATGGCCAGAAACAGAAAATGAAAAGAAAATTGGGATCCATACAACAAAAATGTTTTCTAAAATTTGCTTGTGTTCGTTTTTTTTTTAAGGGACTTGTTTGAAAACAAAAAATCATTCCTTTTTAATTTTCATATCAAATTTAAAATAATTTTTGGCTCTTTACTTATCAGACACCAGTTATCGAAAGATTAGATGAGATATGAAAGAAGTAATCCAATCCACACCCATAACAGGGCATTTAACATCCAAGTTCTACCTAAATGTGTATATTTCAAACAATGTTCTAGCAAGTTATTAACAGAAAGGACACATACTGAAAACTTTGACAAAGTAGCCTGAGCAGCCAAATCTGCAGCTTTGTTTTGATCTCCGAAAAATTGGGATGAAGAAATAGATTTAGCATTTGAGAACTTCTTTCTTGCTTCATCAGACTCCTGAATCTGATCAAAGATAGGTACCAAAACAAAATGAGGTTTAGATTAAAATAAATCTACCCCAAAAAAAAAATCACTTGGTACATATTATACAGATGATTGGCTATAGTTATTTGAAGTCAGATGAGATAGATAATTATATAAAATATATGTCCAATGTCAACATGTTTAAGGAGTATGCACTATGAAGATATAACTTTCAAAGATAAAATAACAGAGTTATTAAGATTTGGTAGCTAAAATAATAAACTTGTCATATATTGAAGGAAACCTGGCATCCACAAATATTGCTGATTGTTTCAAGAATAGAAGAAGCACGCTACCCTCTATGAACATTTAATATCAACAGACCACTCCAGTCTACTATGATCAGCGTTTTTGTAAAACATCAGTTTTGATATAGATAATTGTAAGCAATAACTTCATTTGCAATCGAATTAAAAATGCAAAAGGCCAAGAAAGACAATAAACATGAACTTAGTAGAGGATGCAGTATGCACTTAAAAGTAGGTTACATTGACGAACTTCATAAATATGCCACAAAAAATTTCTAAAACTAACACTCAGCACATAATTGGAGATACTTGCTCTGACAAAATCTATAATTATAATAAAGAAACAGAATATAAGTATGTATCCAAAACAGGTACAAAGACTCGCGAGCATGCAACTAGTACACAACAAAGATAAATATAAATCATACTAAACAACAACCAAACATCTTATGTCATTTTAAATAACACAAATAGTCTTACATCACCACATCAAAGCATTAGATAGAAGGTGCAACTTATAGATCCCCCGTTTCTCTGCCCCCTAGAGGAAACACTTCTTTAATAAAATATAAAAGTTGAAACAACTAAATGGATGGACAATAAATAAAAGCATGTTCTTAAAACAGTTAAAACGTACTTGGCAGTCATATTTGTTTATATAATCAATATGAAATGCATTTTTAATATCTAGTTCTACATGTGTGTGCCAGCATTTTTCTTTTATAACTAGGAAACACAAAACACACACACACAAGTACGTCACGTGTACATCAAGAAAGAATTTATAAAGTAACAACAATAATAATAATGACAGAGACAGAAAAAAGTTAAATAAGAAATAAGAAAATAATAACAAGAGTGTAGAGAATGCGTTTATAAGGAAAGTAAATAAGGAATCATAAATTTTATCATTTGAGTATTATTTCCTTGAAAACTACTAAAATTAAAGGATCAGGGTTATATTGAAATTTTAGTGCCAAAATATGAAGATGGAAAATTGCTTGAGAGTTTTCTTCATTAATAGTAGAGATAAAGCATGTGTATGCTAGCGTTGTCTCCCACAGTTGTAAACAGTATGCTTTGCTATGTGGATCTGTTTTTTGTTAAACACTTTTAACTGAATAGAGACTGGATGTCAAACTTTGAAGGGAAACATATAATTTAATTTTGTAGGCTAACTACATGCAGTAAAAGATAAATTATTAAAGGGGTAAAATCTGCAGGTATGTGGCTTACTTGCACTTTTGAGGAATTAGACCCAGATTTCTTTGGAAAACTGCTATCCATTCCGAAGTCTGCAAAGAAGCTTGATGACTTTGGTACAGACACATGACTAAGTAAATGTGTGCCCCCAACTCCAGAATTTAACTCAGATGATTGGACATTTTCCACATACTCAAACCGGGATGTCAGTGCTGGCCCAGTAAGCAAATTGTTGTTTGATGAGGAAGAAACTGGAGCAGGTGGTTCTTCGGCCTTCTGCTCATAGAGAGACTCACTTGGCTGCATGTCATTAAGGATAAAATGTCAAGAGAAAATATCTTCAAATTAAGTGAGAATGAACCAACAGAGACTTATAATTACAAGATATTCTCCCAATATAATCTGCAAACAAAGACAACTACTTTCATACCTTTTTAGTAAGTTTCCGGGCACCAAGTCCACCAGTCTTCCCCATTTTTTTAGCACCAATAGGTTTCTTGACAGTACTGGAAAATATTGTATGTGAAGCTCTAGGTGAAGAAGTGCTCTCAGGCATTTCAGGCTTCCCCAGAGTATTTCCTTTTGGTAATTCATTGGTCATTACTTCAGGAAGTCCATTGCCTGCTTGTGCAGACTGAGAAGCAACAGGTGATGATGGTGAACCTGCCTCCTCAGCCATACTTTTAGCTACTTCCTTAGAAAGAATTTGTCTATATAACTCTGCAGCTCTTGATGTATACTTGGCCTCTATTTTACCACCATCAGTCCAACCATGTTGCTTAAAGAAAACCTGTGCACGATTGTTTCCTCCAAAGCTCATCATTCTTAATTGCTCAGGACTCCATGAGTCTAAATTTGTAGATCTACATAAAAGAACATATAATTATTGAGAGATTCATCTTTTTTCCCATCATTTACAGAATGTATTTAACAGAATAACCAAGTCAGAAAAAAAAGATGGGAGGGGGGCTACAACTTACAAAGATCCAGAAGCACAAGGACAGAATTGAATTAGGTGATACAACTGCTAAGCAATTCAAACAACTCAATGGATGCACAATAATAATGAAAGAAGAGTAAACTTTAGTTTTGGTGGTTCCACACTACATTTATTTTCAATTTTAGTATCACTTTAGTTTCTCACCCCTAGATCCCTAACCCACATGACAAGTCAAGGAACATGACAATATAATGACTACATATCATTGATCATTCTTCCAATCCTAGCTAGCCACAGATTCCATTCATTCAATAATGTGAAGAAAGGAAACAAAAGAGTTTTCATAAAAGCTATGAATGAATATCAAATTGAAACACTATTTCCAAATAAAATAAAAAGGCTGGAAAACATCAAGTTGTCCCTGTTTCCATTAAAAACCCTTAATGAGGCATGCCAACCAGTTGCAGAAACCGTTGTTTGTATACAACCATATAGTTGTTATACACTATTTGCCTCCAACCCGCCTCCAAAAGTTTCATGGCACAGAAACATCCACCAAGATTTATTTATTCTATAAGGGTAATAGACAGGCGGATCTCTCAAGGGCATGAGCATTTATAACATAAGATCCACATTAAGATCAACATAGATTGGCACAACCTATGACCTTATGTTAAGCCTTCATAAATTGGCACAACCTGGTGCTATGCCTTATCTTGATCTATAGTAGGCAGCCTTTTCTTGCATTTGCAAGAGGTTTATTACATCAATCAAACCTGTGACCTCCGGGTCACATGGGGACAAGACAACACACATTCCCTTCGTAGACTTAAAACAAATTTCCCCTTCTATAACCCTTCAAGGACTACACAATAATTTTGCCATGTTCAATACCGCACCCAGGTTTGATGTCACGCTTCTGAGCCCAATTTCTTCATGCAGTCAAGTCTTAACAAAATGGTACGGGGAATTTCAATAAAATGAAACAGCAATATATAGCACAACTCTATACGTTCATCAGCTGGTTCAGCTCATCAAAATGCAATAAAAATAAAAAATAAAAACACATTCAGTATTAACCATTGCTCATAGCATGCCATTCCAAACATATAAACATCTAGACTATACAAACAAATTGCAAACCCGGCAAATATAACTTGCCTCACAAAACTGATGTGCACGCCGAGGCTGCGATGAACAGCTGAGCAATCGATGCAGAGGAAGATCCCATAGGTGACGGAGGCCCAAGTTGGGTTCTTTGCATTACAATCGAAACACATCTGAAACAAAAACCGGCATCAAACGCACACATGAGTAGCAGATCTGAATCCGAACCGGGAAACTAGATTTATGCAAGGAAGATGAAAGAGGAAATGACGAACCTTGTTTTCGGACTTTGCCTTGAGTTTTCGAAAGACGATGTTCTTGTCGGTGAAGGCTTCGGACGCCATGGGAGGAGGAGGAAGAGGAGGAGGAGAATGAGATCGAGAAATGTGAATTGAAAAATGGGAAATGGGAAATGGGAAATGGGAAATGGGTATTTAGAAAGTTAGGTTATTTATGGAATGAATTGATTGGGGGGTTCTCACTTTCTCAGGGGTGGGGTGCTCGGTGTTGGTGGCAACACAACACAACACAACACCACCAACACCTCCTGAGCAAAAATAACCGCAAATTGTCTCACTGTTTCTTCTCTTTGCCTAACTTAAACGGCACAGTGGCCTTAAGGAAAGAAAAGAAAAAAAATACGCTTGAAATGGCTTGAAAAGCTTTTCTATTCCCAAAGTTACCAATTATTCTTTTACACACTATTCTATTATATTTTAGGGACATCGTATGTTTACAAATTTTTTTTTTTATAACTCTTACAATTTTAACTATATTTTTTTGGAAGTATGCTTTCCAGTCATGTACTCTCGAAAGAACATAGTTAAGATTATAAGAGTTGTAAATAAAAAAAGTTGTAAACGTAACCCTCTTCAATATTCTATTGTAATTCTTGTTTATACTTGGTGAAATCATTAGTGATTGTACCAAACTTCCTTTCAAAATTAGATTAAGATAGAGAGAGCAAATACTCCGACTAAAATGTCAAAATTATTATGGAAAAATTGTGTATTATCTTGAAAGATATAAAGTTGTGTTATTTTAAGTGAGAGAAAGAGATAAATTATGGAGGAGAGAATGGATAATTTTTTTTTTTAAATGTGTGGATATCATCTCTTTGTGAAAGTGAAAGAATATAAGGTGTGTCATTTAAAGTGACACATTTTTTTCCCATTACTATTGAGGTCTAATGCTTTTTTTCTTTTATATTTTTTTAAACAATTATACATATTACAATAAAGGGAGATAAATAGAAAGGAAAATGAAGAGAAAATAAATAAATAAAATTAAAAAAATGAATTCATAGAAAAGAAAATTCTGAATTCACTAATTATCCACTTTTTTTATATAAGGAATATTCTTATATAGAATTTTAAATATAAGTGGGGAAATAATTATATTTCAACTTATCATTAATGTGATGATTAAAAAGTATATTAAAAATCATGAAAAATCAAATAATCAACAAGACAAATATTTTACGACAACTTTGCATTTATACCGTTTTTATTATCTAATTATAATTGTGTTTTTTTTTTTTTAACATTGAATGTACTTTGGAGGCTTACCAAATAGATCAGCGGCTGTTTATAACCAGTACCATTTTGGGCTTCGTGAATAACAACCTCAAATTACCCAAAGTCCAAAACCACCATTCCCAGTCGGAAGAGACAGCCTTTTTTTAAGTTATTATTTATACCTTCTAAAAGATTAAAATAGAATTATTTAGTTTCTAAAAAAATTTAAACATACTTTTTAGTGAAAATATATTTTTAGCAAAATACAATAGAACTGTCTCTTAATAATCTCTTTTGCGGATACGAGGTCCTTTGGGCATTGTACTCATCACTGCAAGTTATGGTAAACAATCATTTTTCTAGCCCAACAAGCTTAAAAATTGAAGTGTGCCTTTTTCTTCTCGACCCAAATTGAAGTTGGGGCAGCGTCAGAATACCAGCCAACCGAACCAGTTTTAAAGCCTTAAGGTTGCCTTTTTGAATTTGGATTGTACGATGACAGAGCTGACCTCTTGTGCAAGCTGCTAAAATCATCTTACCATTTTGCTTCTTTTCTATAGGATCCATTGGTCTAACGCATTCCCTAGTCTTATTAAAGGAACGGTTAATTTATTAATATAAATCAGGTAACCAAAAATTGCCCATAATTAAAACATTGAGGCCTTTGTTGTCTTTTTATTGATTATTTAATATATCTTAAGTTTTTAATTTGTTGGACTTGATAAGGACTACCATTCTAGAATAATTTGAGTACTGAACCAGGTCACTATAGTTTTGATACAATAGACAAGTAGCCGAAGCCCAGAAATATTAGAAAGTTCGGGCCAAAAATCAGTCAATTATAGAGGGAGCCAATCATTTTACACAGTCAATTATTTAAAAAACTTCTAATTTAGAAAACAAGTCATGGCAATTGGCAAGGCCCTATTTAAAGATAAGGTGCTCTGCCACTGTAATAGACGGTAGAGAATCACATTAATTTGATATTCATCAAATAGCTTAAAATTTTGGATTAATTTAATTTTTAAATGATATTAAAGCCTCTTTTTTGCACAGATAAAAATTTGTGTATTATTCACATTTCAAACTTATTGGACTCTTAGGTGAGGAATACATTAGAAAAATATAATATAAAATAATTAATGTAACATTTATCTAACAATTAAGCATTTGGGTTGAATATTTCTTTGTACCTAAATAACATGGATAAGAGAAATGTTACTGGCACCATTTATATTATTTTTTCACCTTATTATACACACACACATATATATATATATATGAAAAATATGTATCCTTTTAAAGCAAACAACTTATATCCTTTTAGTAACTTTACATTATGTTTTACCAGTAAGACATATTTATATGAAAAATTCATTTTTTTCTCTTTCTCCTCAGTTATATCAGGTGACGTAGAAAGTGAAAAAAATAATAATTTTTCTTATTATAACTATGTTCTTCCGGTAAGACATAGTGTAAAGCTACTAAAAAGACACAAGTTGTGCCTTTAAAAAAAATGTTAAACCCATATATATATATATATATATATATATATATATATATATATATATATATATATATATATATATATATATATATATAGTTATATTTACAAACTATTACAAACTACCTTATGTACTCCCGGAAGAACATTAGGTTACACTATGTTCTCCCCGAAGTATATAGTGTAATTTGCAAAAATTTATAAAAAAAAATTGTAAACGGATCTTTCCCTTATATATATATATATTTCACTTTTTCTACGGTCAACGTAGATAATTTATTTACATTGAGCCAAAACGATATCGTTTTGAGGCGGAAATCAATGTATTTTTGTAATTATAATTTATTTCAGGGTTATAATAGTCTTTTTAATTATAATTTTTTAATTTTTCAACTCAAAACGACGTCATTTTAGAAGGGAATGTAGATAACTTATCTACATTAACGGTAGAAACATTAAAGCCATATATATATATATCAGCTATCTAGAAGTTTTGAGTTTGAGTTTGGGGTATACTGTCGTGTTCAAAATTTAATGGAGAGAAGATTGCCACTCTTGTAATTGTACCAGCTTGATCAGAATAATGGATTAATCGATAAATAGTGAAGAAATTAATAGACTTATATGAAAAATATTATAAAATATTTATATTTATCAGCCGCAATTAAAAATTATTTTATACGGGTTTTGCAAATTACTATAATGTTATTTTCCCTGTTTCTCATAAACAATGCCAAATGGGTTGTGGAGGTCGAGAGCATGCGGAGTTGATGACCAATTAATATTATTGATCTTGTAAACAAAAGATCACCTAATCTATCCTCATCATCGTTACCAAAAAGCGCATCTTTCAAGTTGGAGCTAAAATTAATTGTGTATGGAATCTCCAAAAAAAAAAAATTAATTGTGTATGCTTTATTACATTTGTTTCTCTCTTTTAAGTTGAAGCACACCGTTTGTCTTGCTTGATAGTTAGTATTTTAAAAAAATTTAAAGTGTGTAAAGTAAAGAATAAATTATCTTTTTGTTTGTGATCACCAGCCTGTTCATGTTGACATTATTGTTGAATATTGATGTTCAGAATTCTCCTTGTTTGATTCTACAATTTTTTATCACTCTGACCAAAAATTTTACGACGTCTGCAAACTGTAAATGTTTCCTCCTACTGAAACCAGCAATCCGATCTCCAAATGTTTTGTTATCTTACAAATTCTGCATGGTGAGATCTCGTTGTTTGGGGAGTTTTTTTTTCACTTAATCTAATGTATATTCAGGCATGTCTTTTTCCCCCCATCATATGAAGTAGATGGTTAAGAAATAAACCTGAACTAAAATGCACCTAACTTGTATACCATATAGAAGCACTGTAGGTTTTCAAAGTTCTTCTGTTTTTTTTATTTTTTATTTTTATTTTGGTTTGAACAACAAATATATGTGCGCCACATTTGAGCTATTTCCAGAAATGACGGAAAAGGTCAGAAAATAATCTAAATATAAAAAAATAAAATAAAAACTAAATTAAAGGTTGCAGAAGAGGTTATCGGAAAGGAATAGAACGCGGGTATGCCATTCAAAAGAAGGAGAAATATTATGGACCTCAAGTGTGGAATGAAGATCAGGGTCTTATGCTTATGGTCAATTATTTTCCTATTTTTAACCAGGGATGTTTCGTGAAGAACATAAACGGTCCAAATAACATTATCCTGGTGGCTCCTATATAGTCGAATGGACGTTTGAGACATAGAAATGTCATTGTTTTTTACAACTTTGTAATTTCTTTTTTTTCTTTTTGGTATGCAACTTTGTAATTTCTTTATATACCCATTTCAATATATTTATTTGATGGTTTTTAATAAATTAAATTAAATTTTTACATTATTTCTTTAGTTGTTGAAATTTTTTGTATGAATCATATAATTTTTATTATTATTTAAGCTTTATCTATGTAAAAAAAAGAAAAGAAAAAGCAAAAGAAAGAGACATGAAAAATCGCTTTATATAATATGTATATGTTTGATAGGAAGGTTTATCATCTAATTAAAGCTGAAGCTCAGCCACACAATTCTTCTCTGCGTGCATAATAATAATACGTCTTGTTCTCTTGTGACCTACAAAAGACATTGTAAGGGAATCATGATATCATTACCCTAAAAACTAACTTAAATGGTAGGAGTACTTGAAGCTTTATAAATCCCAACATTGCACCCCACCAATGTCCACATTGATTTTCATTTTATCGACATTGATCTGATAGTAGCCATTTTTTTCTTTGGGGCAGCTTCACTCACCTATCAGTATTTAGTGCTTAAAAGCATCTTAATCTAGCCTATACGTAGCCTTCTTTGCAGTCCCAACTCTCAATGAAAGCACAAATATAAGAGAACCTTGAAATCACCACCTCAAAAGCTATATCAAAAAGTAGAAATGCTCAAAGGCCTTATAAACCCCAACAGGACGGACATGCGTTTTACATATGCACCTTAATAAATCACTCTCACACCATATTGCCTTTGAATCAAATACGATTGAAATAAATCATTGTCACTTTGTCTTCTGTCTTGTCTTTGTGATATATATATATATATA